CTTAAGGTATTAGCTGATATTGTTGTAGCACTGATTTTGGGCAATTCCTGTTTCTTTTAGAAGTGCTTTGCTCCAACTATGTGACAGTTTTAGGATGCTGCAGCCAAAGCTGAGCTGACCCCAGTGACACTTGGAAGCCAGTGTCTGGTTTGGTCAGATGTGCAGCCCTGCACCAGTCTCCTCCTCCCTGCATATATGAGTAGTTTGCAGAATCAGTTTTCTTGCCACTCCTTCTCTTTCTGTACTTACTCCACACCTGTTTTCCTGTCTTAAGAGTAGATAATATTTAAAGGCTTAAGATATTCAGAGGAAAATCACCTCAGTTTAAATCTCCTTGAAATTCCTTGGTGGTGTGAGGCCAGGCCCTCTGAGGGGTGATTCCCACCCTGTTCCCTGGAGCCCAGGCAGGGCAGGCAGTGCTCAGCTCTGGCAGGACAAGGCATGTCGTTCTCCCAGGGCACTGCCAGCTTCCCAGGCTGCTCTGACTTGTCCTGAGCAGTTGTTTTTCCATCACAGCCAGGCCAAGAGGCTGGATGGAGGATGATGGCTGAAGCTCAGTTTTCCCTCTACTCCTTAGCTATGAGAGGCAATAGAGTTTGTTTTGAGTTTCCAGGATTTAAGGGGAACTTGGTCAAATGTCCTGATTTTGTTAAAACAAGCTGTGTACAGGGAGTTAATTTTTCCACATTTCAGAAGAAACTGCTCTGAGGCAAACAAAAATTCCTTCAAGATTTCTCAGCCTCAAACAAATTCTGAATGTAAAGCGGGCTGAAAATTTTATTAGCTAAGTTGAAGTGTGTAGAGAAAAATGGTCAGTAAGAAGAAAATTTGACCATATTAAAAATGTTCAATTTTTAACATTGTAGAGGGCAGTTATGAATTTAGAGAAAAAGAAAAAGAGCTTAACTGATACCAGGTATGGGGAAACTGCAATGCAGGGCCAAACCAATCCAAGGATGATATTTCTCTAGTTTTCCCTTCCCTTCCCTTCCCTTCCCTTCCCTTCCCTTCCCTTCCCT